ATCCTCGAAAAAAAGTGTTGTATTCGAATCGACTGATTTGAAGGGGGTTTCACTTCACCTTAAGGACCTTTTATATATATGTTTATAGATTTATATATACACACACGTATAGACGCACATGGAATGACCCTTTCATATCACCTTAACTCTGGTTACTCGTATTGCATTTCGTTCCTCTTTATCCGATTAGACTTGTTGACATGGTTCCATTTCTAAGGCGCTGCAATCGCGAACGTTTCCACTTTACATTAAGTGTCGGGTGTCACTTAAACGAAAATAAAAGTGGAAAAGCAGAAATGAAGAGATAAACTGCAAATTGGAAATATAATTTTAATAAACTTTAAAATAGATTTATGAAATGGAATATGGATCAAAAAGAAGTGTAACGTAATTTTTAATGATATTTGAAATAATGGAGTGATAAATAATAGGGTACTCTTTCGACACTTAAATTTGCATTTACTGGGTTTGGATTTGACAAATCCTGGATTTCAAGTACGATGGAGACGTAGTCATTGCTCACGTATCCATCGTACTCTTAAATCCGGGATTTTAAGTACGATGGAGACGTAGTCATTGGCAACGTCTTCATCGCACTCTTAAATCGGAGATTTAAGTAAATTGCGTGTCTCCATCGCACTAATAAATCCGCAAATTTAAGTAAATCGCATGTCTCCATTGCATTAATAAATCCGCAGATTCGATCCTAAGCGTCTCCATCGACATTTAAATTTGGATGTAGTGGTTTTGGATTTGATAAATCCCGGATTTTAAGTACGATGGAGACGTAGTCATTGTTCTCGTATCCATCGTACTCTTAAATCCGGGATTTTAAGTACGATGGAGACGTAGTCATTGTCCACGTCTCCATCGCACTCTTAAATCCGAGATTTAAGTAAATTGCTTATCTCCATCGCATTAATAAATCCGCAGATTTAAGTAAATCGCGTGTCTCCATTGCATTAATAAATCCGCAGATTCGATTCTGAGCGTCTGTATCGACACTTAAATTTGCATTTACTGGGTTTGGATTTGACAAATCCTGGATTTTAAAAACGATGGAGACGTAGTCATTCTCCACGTCTCCATCGCATTAATAAATCCGCAGATTCGATCTTGGCGTTTATTACGTATTTTTGACGAGAGCGTTCACTTCTCGCACTTTCATCTCACGTGGGTTTCATACGTATGGTCTCGCATTTTCACCACGAAAAACATTCCGTAATACCGTGAGCTACTCATTTTTCACATTTTCGCTCAATTTGATTTACGTAATAGACCCCCTTGAGCGTCCCGATCGATTTAACTTAAATTTGGATTTAGTGGGTTTGGACTCGATAAATCCTGGATTTCGAGTACGATGGAGACGTAGTCAATCGTAATTGCGTAATTATCGACCCAATTCCGTCGCATTTTCCGTCCTTATCTCGCGCAGTCGGTAATTGTTCGACTTGTGCAATTTACGCTCCGACTAAAAATTGCGCGGGAATTTAACTGCTGTAACCTCGATAATGATTATCCTCTTTCTCAGCGGACCTTGATTTCGCGTTATCGCCGACATTTGCAACAACGATTAGCGAAGGCCGATGTAAACAAAACTCGCACGGTGGAAACAATCGATACTTCAACCGTGGAACAGAATTCGGTTCTGGGGGTCTATTACGTAAAGCAAATTGAACGAAAATGTGAAAAATGAGTAGCTCACGGTATTACGGAACGTTTTTCGTGGTGAAAATGCGAGACCATTCATATTAATTGGCTCGGTACAAATTTTTATCTATTACGTTAAGCAAATTGAGCGAAAATGTGAAAAATGAGTAGCTCACGGTATTACGGAGCGTTTTTGGTGGTGAAAATGCGAGACCATTCATATTAATTGGCTCGGTACAAATTTTTATCTATTACGTTAAGCAAATTGAGCGAAAATGTGAAAAATGAGGAGCTGACGGTATTACGGTACGTTTTTGATGGGGAAAATGCGAAACCATTCGTATGAACTGGCTCGACACAAATTTTTAAGCGAAATGGGGAAGCATACAAGAAAAGATCGTGAGACCGAAATTCAAAATGGAAAACCTGGGTGTTTTGATTTTTGGCAACAATCGTATTCGGGGACGTAATAATAACCTTATTAGAAGAAGATGGGAATTACGTGATGCCTCGGACCCATTTTCGTTAGAAGAAAGAGAATTTACTAGGATGTACAGGTTAGTTTTTGTTATTGCGAGGTTATGTTACATTATTAAACATTGAAAACTGTTAAATAATTCATGCTTACACGACACGATAAGAAAATTATATCGTTGAACTTCTAATTATAGTACATGTAAATATGAATGTAATGCGTATTTAAAAAATATAAAAGGACTCGAGTCCTCTTCTTTAGATGGTAAATATGGAATTAATTTTCACTAACTATTGCAAGAAAATGCTGGCTTGTCCTGTGGCTAACGCGTGTTTTTAGAGCAAAAATTTAGTTGCAGCTAAACGTCAGAGATGGCGACATTAGTTCGTCAAAACATGAACAGTCATGAATTCATGGGATTTCCGCAGTTTTATATCGATCTTTTTATTATTACTTTACCGAAATGACATATAGAACGCTTCAGTTCGTATAATTCTCAACGTAGACTGTAAAAGACTTCAACATAAATATAAATGTCGGTAATGGGACGCGCCAACTAATGTTACCACTTGAGTATTCAAGACGACGTTATCGCCAAAAAGGGTTTAAATGAGTTTTACGTTATCGATGTCGATTAAATTTCTCGCTCGAACAATTTAGAATACTAAAAATGGAATATAACAGGGACACATGGGAAAATATGGAAAATACTGTCATGAACGATTGCAAGAGACTGCTGACTTGTCTCGAGGATAACGCGGGTGTTTAGAGCAAAAATTTAGTTGCAGCTAAACCTCACAGATGGCGACGTAGGTCCTAAACAGTCGTTAGAATAATGAATTCCCGGGATTTCGACAGTTTTACATCGATCTTTTTATCATTACTTCACCGAAATGACATATGGAACACTTCAGTTGGTATAATTCTCAACGTAGACTGCAAAAGACTTCAACAAAAATATAAATGTCGGTAACGGGATGCGCCAGCTTATGTTACCACTTGAGTATTCAAAACCACGTTATCACCGAAAAGGGTAAAGATAAATTTTAATTTATCTACCTCGATTAAATTTCTCAGCGCCTCACATCATCTTCAAGCCGTGATGTTTTATGTTTAACTTTCTTTTACCCGTAGACGAAACAAAGATAGGAGGTCCGAATGTCGTTTGGTCTTCCCGCCTGTCCACGTGGAGTTTTGTTCCGAGGTTTACGTGAGAAAATTCGCTGAAGCAGACCAAATTGTTGGGATTCAATTACGTTGACGACTGCTCGAATAAATGATAATGTCTTTCGCTTTTCGAGAAAGATGCTCCAGACGAGGACTCTTTCTCGCTGGAATATTTTTAGTCTTAAGGTGATATGAAAGTGTGATATGTGCCCATAATTATGAAAGTGGTCTAAGTCAAAATTAAAAAAACGAATGCGTTTATCAGTTATTTCACGCCATATTATTTCAAACGAAATTAATTCAATGTAATTTCGAAACAAAAAATATATGACTTAGACCACTTTCATAATTATGGGCACATATATACGTACCAAAAAGTGAAAATATTTATATAACTTTTCTCCAAACTGGGTGCATGAAATTATCTGAAACTTTAACACGTGATTATGGAGGCTCTAAGGAAGAATGCGCTGCTCATGAAATTTCTTTTTCTGAAAAAGATGTATTTATCTCGTACAAGAATGAAAAGAATTTTTTTTTTTTTTTTTTAAATAAAATCTCACTGGCAGCGCGTTCCTCCTTGTCGCCTTCATAATCACGTGTTAACATTTCAGATAATTCGGTGCACCTCCTTATAAACATTCTGACTTTTTCTTATGTATATATCACACTTTCATATCACCTTAAGATAATCAAAATTAAAATAGTGTTTCACGCAACTAGTCTTGTATAAAATGTCAATCTTTTCGTAGCGGTGTATGTATATTGGAGGTGTTAAGGTGATATGAAAGTGTGATGTATAGATATAAAAAAATGAGAATATTTATAAAACTTTTCTCCAAACTGGGTGCATGAAATTATTTGAAACTTTAACACGTGATTATGGAGGCTCTAAGGAAGAACGCGCTGCTCGTGAAATGTCATATTTCGAAAAAAATGTATTTATCTTGGACATGAACCAAGAAAAGACATTTTTCCCGAAAAATGAAATTTCACGGTCATCGCGTTCCTCCTTGTCGCCTCCATAACAACGTGTTAAAGTTTCAGATAATTCGGTGCACCCAGTTCGGGGAAAGTTTAATAAATATTCTAAATTTTTGTTATCTATATATCACACTTTCATATCACCTTAAGATAATCAAAATTGAAATAAAAGCTTCCACGCGACTATTCTTGTACAAAATGCCCGTCTTTTCGTAGCGGTGCAGACATATTTGAGGTGTTAAGGTGATACGAAAGTGTGGTGTATAGATATAAAAAAATGAGAATATTTATATAACTTTTCTCCAAACTGGGTGCACCGAATTATCTGAAACTTTAACACGTGGTTATGGAGGCGACAAGGATGAACGCGCTGCTCATGAAATTTCATATTTCGAAAAAAATGTTGTATTTATCTTGGACATGAACCAAGAAAAGACATTTTTCCCGAAAAATGAAATTTCACGGTCATCGCGTTCTTCCTTGTCGTCTCCATAACCACGTGTTAACATTTCAAATAATTCGGTGCACCTTCGAAGAAGGTTTTATAAACATTCTGACATATTCTTATATATATATATATATATATCACACTTTCATATCACCTTAAGATAATCAAAATTGAAATAAAAGATTCCACGCGACTACTCTTGTACAAAATGTCCGTTTTTTTGTAGTGATGTAGACATATTGGAGGTGTTAATAATTTTTCTGTAATCTGTTTCAGACATCGCCGTGGCGATTGGTCAAGAGGTTAACTTCCACTCTGCGAACGGTACTCGCACCGGTCAGGTGAAAATCACGAAGGCCGTCTCGCTCAGGGGCATCGCTTACGACGATGTCCAACGGAATATGTACTTAGCCGATGCCGGAAACCAAAACGTCACGATCTACACCGTCAACCTCTCCGAGGGCAACTCCACGGTTGACGTTCTCCTGGAAAGTACGTCCGCAAGGCGAAACAACCATTTCCTGGGAATATGAAAATTCTTACTTCGATGTAAATCTTTTTTTTTTTCCTAAGCCCGAGCATAAATACACTGGTGCGCATGCGCAAGGGAGGCTCGAAGTATGACGCTCTTAAGGTGAAGTGAAACCCCCCTCAAATCAGTCGATTCGAATACAACACTTTTTTTTAAGGGTAAAAGACTAAACTGTCCGAAACTTTGACACATGACTCGTGATCGTCTAAGAATTCTCCTAACACATTCAAAATTTGGATTTTTGGAAAAACATTTTTTAACTTAGCCCGGACAAGAACCAAAATGGCGTCGAGCTCTCGTATTTCGATCGAAATACAATTATCGAAGGCTCTGATATGAGAATCGAAAGGGTCAGGACAATTTTACGACAATTTAGAACACTCTGGTAATCGATAAACTCGCATTTGAACGGGATAAAGGCAAAAAAAGTGTTGTATGCGGTTCTATGCTAAAACGATGGAAATACGAGGTCTCGGAGTGAAAATTTAATTGACCTGGAAATCACAGATGGCGCAGGGGGTCCCTCTGCAGTCAATTAAGGCCCCAGAAGGCATGAATCCAGAGGATTTCTGGAGTTTTACTTCGATTTCTTGATATTTATTGTACGAAAACGACAGGTGGAGTACGCCATTTGGTACAATACCCAATATAATTCGACCCAGCTGTCGATATAAAAACCAACGTCGGCAACGTAGGCATTTAGATAAATCATCTTTACCGACGTCGATCAAGTTCCTTGAGGTGTTTCACTTCACCTTAACTACTGCGTCAACAAGGAAGGGAGTTAGTCATAAACAAATACTGATTTCCATGAAGAGGTGGCGTTAAAGGCCCTCGTCGATGAGATTTTATTTATATATTCATTCATGTCGTTTTTCCATTGAAGGAGGAAACGAAGTCGGCGTAGAGTTTGTTTGTTTTTTCTTTTTTTTTTTTTCTTCGGCGATCGTTCGATGATCGATAAGTGTTAATGTAAACGATATCTCGCTCGGTTTTCCTCGGGTCGCACGACCCGTCGAGGAATCTCATCGCTTACGTGAACTTGAAGCCCTCGTTATGAAAAACAACAACAATGGCCTCGGTCCCGATTAAACGAACATTTCTCGAACAAATTTAACGCGAAGTGCGACATTACTACACGCTCATAAACTGCTCCACAAAAGTACACGTCCACCCTGCCTTTTCTTCTTTTCAGTAAAATTACAGTTTACAGACTACATTTTTGTAGTAAAATAATTTGTTTTACTACTAAAAGAAGTAATTTAAAAAAGAAACTGGAAATTGTATTGCTAGGTAGAATGACATAGATATTAAGGTGAAGTGAAACACGTCGAGGAACTTGATCGACGTCGATAAAGAAGATTTTTCTAAATGGCTACGTTGCCGACGTTGGTTTTTATATCGACAGCTGGGTCGAATTATATTGGAAATTGTACCAAATGGCATACTCCACCTGTCGTTTTCGTACAATAATTATAAAGAAATCGAAGTAAAACTCCAGAAATCCTCTGAATTCGTGCTTTCTGAGGCCCTAATTGACTGCGGAGGGACCCCTTGCGCCATCTGTGATTTCCAGGTCAATTAAATTTTCACTCCGACACCTCGTATTACCATCGTTTTAGCACAGAAGCGCATACAACACTTTTTTGCCTTTATCCCGTTCAAATGCGAGTTTACCGATTACCAGAGTGTTCTAAATTGTCGTTTAATTATCCTGACACTTTCGTTCCTCATATTAGAGCACAAAAATTGCGTCAAATCGGCAAAATTGCGAATTGACGCATTTCGTTTACTTTTCAACAACTCTAAGGTGAAGTGAGAAACAGAAATTTGATCGACATCGATAAAGAAGATTTTTCTAAATACCTACGTTGCCGATGTTGGTCTTTATGTGGACAGCCGTGTCGAATTATATTGATTATTGGACTAAATGACATACCCTATATGTCGTTTTCATACAATAATTATAAAGAAATCGAGGTAAAACTCCAGAAATCCTCTGAATTCGTGCTTTCTGAGGCCCTAATTGACTGCAGAGGGACCCCCTGCGCCATCTGTGATTTCCAGGTCAATTAAATTTTCACTCCGACACCTCGTATTCCCATCGTTTTAGCACAGAAGCGCATACAACACTTTTTTTTGCCTTTATCCCGTTCAAATGCGAGTTTATCGATTACCAGAGTGTTCTAAATTGTCGTAAAATTGTCCTGACCCTTTCGATTTTCATATCAGAGCCTTCGATAATTGTATATCGATCGAAATACGAGAGCTCGACGCCATTTTGTTTCTGGTCTAGGCTGTTAAAAATATTTTTCCAAAAATCCAAATTTTGAATGTGTGAGGACAATTCTTAGATGATCAGGACTGACGTGTCAAAGTTTCGGACAGTTTGGTCTAATACCCTTAAAAAAAAGTGTTGTATTAGAATCGACTGATTTGAAGGGGGTTTCACTTCACCTTAAAGTTGTACGTGTAACTCCGGGCAACCGAAAATAATTGACAAATGAACTTAGGCCACTTTCAAAATAAGCGGCTCGTCTCATTAATGGATACACCTTTTTTTCAGAAAGGGACGGGACGCATATCTGGGGAATGGTCTTCGACACTATCTCGAGGACGCTGTTCTGGACGGATGTGGGGCGAAGCGTGATAGCGAAGATGCATCTCCCGGTGGAAGGTCGCCCTGGAGAGCCCAGCATCTTGCACAACCTGACGGGAGCGGATCCGAGGGGGATAGCCCTGGACCTCTGCAACAGGTAGGGTATACACGGAGGGAAAGAAAAGCCTTACGGCGTCAAAGAGGTCTCGTTTATGAAACTTTTCTCCGTACTGGGTGCACTTTGAAACGTTATATATTTGGCGCGAAACTCTACCGAGTTTCTTAATAGAACGACCCTTTCGTATCACCTTAACACTATTTCTACCGCGATTTTGTGTATACCTAATTCGTATATAGAACGACCCTTTCATATCACCTTAACACTATTTCTACCGCGATTTTGGGTATACCTAATTTGTATATAGAACGACCCTTTCATATCACTTTAACACTATTTCTACGCCATTTTGTATGTACCTATTTTGTACATAGAACGACCCTTTCATATCACCTTAACACTATTTCTACCGGGATTTTGTGTATATTTATTTCGTATATAGAGTGACCTTTTCATATCACCTTAACACTATTTCTACCGCGATTTTGGGTATACCTAATTTGTATATAGAACGACCCTTTCATATCACTTTAACACTATTTCTACCGCCATTTTGTATGTACCTGTTTTGTACATAGAACGACCCTTTCATATCACTTTAACACTATTTCTACCGCGATTTTGTGTATACCTATTTTGTACATAGAACGACCCTTTCATATCACCTTAACACAATTTTTACCACGATTTTGTGTGTACCTATTTCGTATATAGAAATACCCTTTCGTATCACCTTAACACTATTTCTGCCGCGATTTTTTGTATACCTATTTTGTACATAGAACGGCCCTATCATATCACCTTAACACTATTTGTACCGCGATTTTGTGTATACCTATATCATACATAGAACGGCCCTTTCATATCTCCTTAACATTATTTCTACCGCGATTTTGTGTATACCTATTATCACTTTAACACTATTTCTACCGCGATTTTGTGTATACCTATTTTGTACATAGAACGACCCTTTCATATCACCTTAACACTATTTATACCGCGATTTTGTGTATACCTATTATCACCTTAACACTATTTCTACCGGGATGTTGTGTATACCTAATTCGTACATAGAACGGCCTTTTCATATCACTTTAACACTATTTCTACCGCGACTTTATGTATACCTATTTCGTACATAGAACGGCCCTTTCATATCACCTTAATGAGTGACTGTCTTCCAGGCACATCTACTGGACGAACAGCAACTCCACGAACCCCAGCATCGAGAGGTCCAACCTGGACGGGAGCAGCCGAGAGCTGGTGGTGCAGACGAACCTGTACGAGCCCCTGGCGGTGGCCGTGGACCACGGGACCGGGAAGCTGTACTGGATCGACGACGAAGAGGGCATCCACTTCAAGGTGGAGCGCAGCAACCTGGACGGGCTCGACCGGGAGCTGCTGGTCCACGGGAAGCACCAGCAGCCGGTGTACATGGCCGTGGACCAGGGCTCCGTCTTCTGGACCGACTGGGTCTACGGGGCCGCCTGGTCCATCGGCAAGACCGTCCAACCTGGCGACGTGCCCACCAGGTTCCTAAAGTACTTCGAGACCAGCAGGGAGTACGAGCCCACCGGCCTCGTGGCTCGCGACAATGTCGGCGACTCGGTCGACTGCCGGCATCTCGTTGAGCTCTCGAGGATGGTCATCCCCAGCCCGGACTCGCAGGTAGAGTTCTGAACGTGGTTGGCGGCGTCGGGGACGATAAGAGGTCTCCTATCACCTTAAGGGGTTACACCACGTTGACGCACCCAAAAATTACGGTTTTTTCAAGAATTTTTTTTTAAGAGTTTAAACCTTTTTATCCTAATTAAAGTACAGTAAGGTGTTACGCTACTATTAAACTCGCTCACTGCGAAAATCGGTGATCGTGCGGTGGGCAGGTGTACAGGTGTAAACGCGTTTTTCTTAAAACTGCATTTTAAAAATCGGTGGCCACTCTAGCTCCGCCAATTTTCAATCAATCGTCTTGATTCTTTTTTTTATTTTATTCGTGATATGTTTATCTAGCGAAATACGTATGGTTTTTTCAAGGTATTGATATTCGCAGTTTTTATGCAACATTAATTAACGAAATTTAGGGAAAAATACGTATCTTTCCTTTCGAATCGATGCCATTTTGTGAAAAGTGCATATTCTTGGTAACGGCTACGTATTTCGCTAGCTTTTGGGCTACAGAGGCTAATTCTTTTTCGTTTATTGTTTTAACTTAAACCTGGACCGAGTTATCGTGCCCACCGCACGATCATCGATTTTCGCAGCGCTCCGGTAAATCGCCTTTCAAGCCGCCATTTTTGTAAATAAGAAAAAATACAAAAAAGCATTTTTTTGTTTAATAGTAGTATAATACCTTACCGTACTTTAATTTGGATAAAAACGTTTTAATTCTTAAAAAAAAATTCTTGAAAAACCGTAATTTTTGGGTGGGTCAAAGTGGTGTAACTCCTTAAGAGGATATGAAAGGTGTTAAGAAACTTAATCGACGTCGATAAAGTAAAATTCATCTATACCCTTTTTGGTGGTAATGCCGTTTTGAATACTCAAGTGGTAACATTAGCTGGCGCGTCCCGTTACCGACATTTATATTTTTGTTAAAGTCTTTTATAGTCTACGTTGAGAATTATACGAACTGACGGGTTCTATATGCCATTTCGGAAAATTAATGATAATAAGATCGACGTAAAACTGCAGAAATCTCATGAATTCACGACTGTTTATATTTTTACGAACCAACGTCGCCATTTGTGACGTTTAGCTGCAACTAAATTTTCGCTCTAAGAACACGCGTTAGCCGCAAGACAAGCCAGCATTCTATTGCAATGTTTCAAACTATTCGGTAAACCGAATTGGGAGAAAAGTTTTGTAAACAAAACCTCTTCGACGCCACTTTCACATCACCTTAAGGTGAACCATGAATAACAAAACGATAAGGGTAAAACCATGAATTAATTTTGGAATTCTACTTGCAGGCCCAGCCTGACAGGGACCTCTACAACAACCTGACCACCAGTACCGAGGAAACCGACTCTTCACCTAAATCCAAGGGCGAAGAGTACTGTCTGAACGGTGCACGGTACAGCGAGGTGGAGGACACATGTCGTTGTGAGAAAGGGTGAGCCGATTGCATTTCAATCTGGAAGTATTCTTCTGGGCCCCAGAAAGCATGAATCCAGAGGATTTCTGGAGTTTTACTTGGATTTCTGGATATTTATTGTACGAAAACGACAGATGGAGTATGCCATTTGGTACAATTCCCAATATAATTCGACCCAGCTGTCGATATAAAAACCAACGTCGGCAACGTAGGCATTTAGAAATACCTTCTTTATCGACGTCGATCAAATTTCTGTTTCTCACTTCACCTTACAGTTGTTGAAAATTAAACGAAATGCGTCAATTCGCAATTTTGCCGATTTGACGCAATTTTTGTGCTCTAATATGAGGAACGAAAGGGTCAGGATAATTAAACGACAATTTAGAACACTCTGGTAATCGATAAACTCACATTTGAACGGGATAAAGGCAAAAAAAGTGTTGTATGCGCCTCTATGCCAAAACGATGGGGATACGAGGTCTCGGAGTGAAAATTTAATTAACCTGGAAATCACAGATGGCGCAGGGGGTCCCTCTGCAGTCAATTAGGGCCTCAGAAGGCACGAATCCAGAGGATTTCTGGAGTTTTACTTCGATTTCTTGATATTTATCGTACGAAAACGACAGGTGGAGTATGCCATTCGGTACAATATCCAATATAATTCAACCCAGCTGTCGATATAAAAACCAACGTCGGTAACGTAGGCATTTAGAAAAATCCCCTTTATCGACGTCGATCAAGTTCCTCGACGTGTTTCACTTCATCTTAACTGAATGACTAATTTTCCACAGGTTCGAGGGCCCCAGGTGCGAGCGGTCGGTCTGCCAAAACTACTGCCTAGCCGGAAGGTGTTCCTTGACGACCGCGGGGAAGCCCAGGTGCGAATGCAATCAGGGACACTCGGGGGGGCGCTGCGATGTCGACCTCTGCAGGGGGTACTGCCTAAACGGTGGACGGTGTTCATTTCGCAAGGGGCAGCCCTTCTGCGAGTGCGCGTACTCCAGGGGCCAGCGGTGCGAGGATGCCTCCGACCAGGACGAGGTTTGCGCCCTCTTCTGCTGGAGCGGAAGACCCGCGGTTAGAAGCATCGACACGAGCCTCTGTCGGTAAGTTGGCTCCGAAGATGATACACGAGAAGAGTTTAAGGTGATATGAAAGTGTGATATATATGTTACCGTGAATGACCGAAATTGGAGAATGTCGACTTTCACCGGTGAATGTCAACATGTACCAAATACGTCGGTGAAAGATCGAATATTTCATTACATTGTTGTACATTCGGACCCTCTCCAGTGTGTGTCGACCATCACACACCGGGGAATGTCAACATTTACCGGTGTAAGTCAGAAATAAGGGTATTTAGCAAATATTTCAGACATACACTAAGCGACTATGTGAATGTTGGAATTCACCGGTGAAATTCGACATTCTCCAGATTTCGGTGTTTCACTGTAACATATATATATATAAAAGTCGAAATATTTATGAAACTTTTCCTCCAAACTGGGTGCACCAAATTACCTAAAACTTTTTAACCTGTGATTATGGAGGCTGTAAGGTAGAACGCGCTGCCCGGGAAATTTCATCTTTCGGATAAGAAATATCTTTTTTTGGTTCTTGTCCGGGATAAGTGGATTTTTTTTGTTCGAAAAATGAAATTTCATAAGCAGCGCGTCATTCCTTAGTCATGTCAAAGTTTCGGGCAGTTTGGTCTAATACCCTTAAAAAAAAGTGTTCTAATCCAATCGACTGATTTGAAGGAGGTTTCGCTTAACCTTAAAGCAAGGTGCTCGTATGAAAATAAAGATTAACAAATCCATTGAACATTTCAGGTGCGACTCGCTGAACGAAACCCGCACCGTGGGTGTTCTTCAAGATGCGGATGGCCTAGACAAGGAGTTGCTCGCGCCCATCCTCGGCACCATCATCGGCGCCCTGGTCATCACCGTAGGAGTGCTTAGCTACCACGTTAACAAATTGCGGCGCCGTCCCCGGGTGAAGAAGCGCTTCCTGGTCAGCAGGAACGGGCTGACCCCCCTAACCTCCAGGCCCAGGGTCCCCGGGGACCAGTGCGAGATCACCATCGAGAACTGCTGCAACATGAACATCTGCGAGACGGTTGGTCTCAATTCCTCGATTTTCATAATTAATTATCGATTATTACCTACCTAAATGTCGTCGAGCCTTTATGTTTCGATCGATATCACTTGAAATTTAATTACGTGGGGATATGAAAGTCTATATATATAGTAGTAGTCTCATATATAGTTATGTCTTATACTACTATTTCATGCCTGCGTCCATGTAAACGTCCCCCAGGTCGACTAAACCCTCGTTTAAACTCCAGCCCTGCTTCGAGCCGAAGCTATGTTATGTCTCATGTGTCTCATATGTAGTTTCATATCATATAGTTACGTCTCATACTACTACTTCATACATACGTCCCCCAGGTCGACTAAACCCTCGTTTAAATTCCAGCCCTGCTTCGAACCGATGCTATGTTGTCTCATGTGTAGTCTCGTATCATATAGTTATGTCTCATACTACTATTTCATGCCTACGTCCATGTAAACGTCCCCCAGGTCGACTAAACCCTCGTTTAAACTCCAGCCCTGCTTCGAGTTGAAACTATGTTATGTCTCATATGTAGTCTCATATCATATAGTTACGTCTCATACTACTACTTCATACCTACGTCTCCCAGGTCGACTAAACCCTCGTTTAAATTCCAGTCCTGCTTCGAACCGCAGCTATGTTATGTCTCATGTGTAGTTTCATATCATATAGTTATGTCTCATACTACTACTTCATGCCTACGTCCATGTAAACGTCCCCCAGGTCGACTAAACCCTCTTTTAAATTCCAGTCCTGCTTTGAACCGAAGCTATGTTATGTCTCGTATGGCTCATATGTAGTCTCATATCATATAGTTACGTCTCATACTACTACTTCATACCTACGTCCCCCAGGTTGACTAAACCCTCGTTTAAATTCCAGTCCTGCTTCGAACCGACGCTATGTTATGTCTCATGTGTAGTCTCATATCATATAGTTATGTCTCATACTACTACTTCATGCCTACGTCCATGTAAACGTCCCCCAGGTCGACTAAACCCTCGTTTAAATTCCAGCCCTGCTTCGAGCCGAAGCTAAGGACGTCCCTGTCGAAGAGCGGCCGAACAAAAGAAGAGAAGGACTCGCTTATAGACAGCATGGACGGCGGATGCTCGTGATGACCGCCCTCGTCGGTCAGCGATCTGGTTCCCAGGACACGTGGAGGTACCTGGCCGCCTTCCCCGTCCAGACGGCGAGGCCACGTGGAGTCCCTCGACCTCCTCCTCGGGGTCGCGTGGACTTCTCTCCCCTCTTCGGACTTCTGTCCGAAGACGGCGGTTGCGTTTCTTATCTCGCGAGGAGATAGCGGAAGAAAAGACTCTCGGTTAGTGTCGTAGTTGATGATCGTCGACGAGGCGAAGGCCGCTCGTCCTGTTCCTCGTCGAGGTCGACCCGAGGCGGGCGGACTGATTTGAGGCTAATTTACACGGTGCCAGTAACTCGTACGAGTCTTTACACGGTACCAGTAACTTGTACGACTCTTTACACGGTACCAGTAACTCGTACGAGTGACTAAGTGAATTTACACAATACCAGTAACTCGTATGAGTCACTAAGGCAAATTTACACGGTACCAGTAACTCGTACGAGTCACTATAGCGAATTTACGCGGTACCAATAACTCGTACGAGTTACTATAGCGAATTTATATGGTACCAGTAGCTGGTACGAGTCACTAAGGCGAATTTAAACAGTACCAGTAACTGGTACAAATCACTATGGCGAATTTACACGGTACCAGTAACTCGTACGAGTCACTATAGCGAATTTACATGGTACCAGTAGCTGGTACGAGTCACTAAGGCGAATTTAAACAGTACCAGTAACTGGTACAAATCACTATGGCGAATTTACACGGTACCAGTAACTCGTACGAGTCACTATAGCGAATTTACATGGTACCAGTAGCTGGTACGAGTCACTAAGGCGAATTTAAACAGTACCAGTAACTGGTACAAATCACTATGGCGAATTTACACGGTACCAGTAACTCGTACGAGTCACTATAGCGAGAGCACTATAAAGAGAGAGCATTGATATCTCCCAGTGTACAATGGCGGACATGAATGTCTCCCCTGCAATACGGCATCGTCTGTGCAGGATTGGAGAGCATTGATGTCTCCCAGTGTGCAATGGCGGACATGAATGTCTCCCCTGCAATACGGCATCGCCTGTGCAAGATGGGAGGGCATTGATATCTCCCAGTGTACAATGGCGTACATGTATGCCTCCCCTGCAGATACGGCATCGCCTGTGCAGGATTGGAGGGCATTGAGGTCTCCCAGTGTACAATGGCGGACATGAATGTCTCCCCTGCAGACACGGCATCGCCTGTGCAGGATGGGAGGGCATTGATGTCTCCCAGTATTCTAAAAGGCTGGGTATACGCTCCTATCTTGTAAAGCACTCGGTTTTAGTGACTCGGACGAGTTACTGACACCGTGTAAATTCCCTTTTATCTCGGATGTTATTGGTGATAAGCATCGATTAGCCGAGATACTTCATCCATTCGGACTCCGCCTCGGAGACCTCGCGGACGAGAGTCGGATTTCCGACTTCCGGTCGATCGTGGACGGATGTAGACCAAATTTCGGGCTTAGCTTGTAAGTGTTCGCGGGGGAAGTTTGCGGCGAATTCGCGGAAAACGCTGCGGAATTACCGGGAAATGTGCGGGGGAGAGAAATCGGCGGCGTTTTGAGAACCTGCACTTATATGTATCCATGGAAATTTACATACGTTTTTACATACCTCGTAACATCGGTTTACATCGGGAGACTCGATAGAGTTTCGCGCCAAGTATATTTAACGCATGCCCCAAGTACATTTGAAGCATGCGCAAACGGCGCCAGACATTTGAGGTGATATGAAAGAGGTCTCGTTTATGAAATTGGAAACATGAACATGGAAATTTACATACGTTTTTACACACCTCGTAACATCAGTTTACACCGGGAGACTCGATAGAGTTTCGCGCCAAGTACATTTAAATCATGCGCCAAGTACATTTGAAGCATACGCAAACGGCGCCGAACACTTGAGGTGATATGAAAGAGGTCTCGTTTATGAAATTGGAAACATGAACATGGAAATTTACATACGTTTTTACACACCTCGTAACATCAGTTTACACCTGGAGACTGGATAGAGTTTTGCGCCAAGTATATGTAACGCATGCGCAAACGGCGCCGAACATTTGAGGTGATATGAAAGAGGTCTCGTATATGAAATTGGAAACATGAACATGGAAATTTACATACGTTTTTACACACCTCGTAACATCAGTTTACACCGGGAGACTCGATATAGTTTCGTGCCAAGTACATTTAACGCATGCGCAAACGGCGCCGAACACGAGGTGTTGTGAAAGAGGTCTCGTTTATGAAACTACCAAATTATCTAAAACATTAACACGTGATTATGGAGGCTCTAAGGAAGAACGCGCTGCCCGTGAAATTTCATTTTTTTTAAATTTCATTTTAAGAAATGTTTAAAATACCTATAAACAAATTTTGGAACAATTCAAATTGGGTGCTCCAAATTATCTAAAACATTAACACGTGGTTATGGAGGCTCTAAGGAACAACGCGCTACCCCAGAAATTCCATTTTTTTTTTAATTTCATTTTAAGAAATGTTTAAAATACCCATAAACAAATTTTGAAACAATTCAAATTTCATGAATGTCAGGACCTTCCTTATAGCCTTTATATTCACGTCGTAAAGATTAAAACAATTCGGTACACTCAGTTCGAAGAAAAGTTTCATTAGTAAGATCGTATATATCAATATACATACCAAAAAGTGAAAATATTTATGAAACATTACTCCAAACTGGGTGCACTAAATTATCTAAAAATTTAACACGTGGTTATGGAGGCTCTAAGGAAGAACGCGCTACCCCAGAAATTCCATTTTTTTTTTAATTTCATTTTAAGAAATGTTTAAAATACCCATAAACAAATTTTGAAACAATTCAAATTTCATGAATGTCAGGACCTTCCTTATAGCCTTTATATTCACGTCGTAAAGATTAAAACAATTCGGTACACTCAGTTCGAAGAAAAGTTTCATTAGTAAGATCGTATATATCAATATACATACCAAAAAGTGAAAATATTTATGAAACATTACTCCAAACTGGGTGCACTAAATTATCTAAAAATTTAACACGTGGTTATGGAGGCTCTAAGGAAGAACGCGCTACCCCAGAAATTCCATTTTTTTAAATTTCATTTTAAGAAATATTTAAAATACCCATAAACAAATTTTGGAACAATTCAAATTTCATGATAGCCTTTATATTCACGTCGTAAAGATTAAAACAATTCGGTACACTCAGTTCGAAGAAAAGTTTCATAAACGAGACCCCTTCGACGTCACTTTCATATCCCCTTAAGGCGATATAAAAGTGTGATATATACATACCAAAAAATGAAAATATTTATGAAACTTTTCTCCAAACTGGGTGCATCAAATTATTTAAAACATTAACACGTGGTTATGGAGACTCTAAGGAAAAACGCGCTTCCCATGAAATATCATTTTTTGAAAAAAAAATATCCTTTTTGGTTCTTGTCTGAGATAAGTAGAAAATTTTTGTCGAAATAAGGAATTTCATGAGCGACGCGTTATTCCTTAGCGCCTCCATAATCACGTGTTAAAGTTTCCGATAATTCGGTGCACCCAGTTTGGAGAAGAGTTTCATAAATATTTTCAGTTTTTCATATGTATATATCACACTTTCATATCACCTTAAGGAAGAGAATGAAATGCGCGAAATCGGAATAGTTCCTTTCACGCCGTGCTTGAAAAATCAGGTCCTGTGAAAATGCGGCGAAACACTTAAAGAGGCGACGCGTCCCTCGATTATGTACTTGGAAGAGTCGTCGCTCGTTTTCATTTTTCCCCTCTTCTTTTCCTTCGTCGAAGATGAACCAAAGTTCCGTCAAAGAGTTGCTTTGACTTTTATTTAGGCGTTCTAAGCGTGTACATAGGTAGCGTATCCTCGACATTGTATCTACGACTTTGCGTTGCGGTTAATAAAAGTTTAACGCGATAGCGAGTGATTTTTTTTTATTCAATTAACCCAATCTTTAAGGTGATATGAAAGGCGCTGAGAAATTAAAGGGGATATGAAAGATGCTGTGAAATTTAAGGTGATATGAAAAGCGCTGAGAGATTTAAGGGGATATGAAAAGCGATGAAAAATTTAAGGTGATATAAAAAGCGCTGAGAAATTTAAGGTTATATGAAAGATGCTGTGAAATTGAAGGTGATATGAAAGGCGCTGAGAATTTTAAAGTGATATAAAAGATGCTGAGAAAATTAAGGTGATATGAGAAGCGATGAAAAATTGAAGGTGTAATGAAAGGCGCTGAGAAATTTAAGGGGATATGAAAGGCGCCGAGAATTTTAAAGTGATATGAAAGGTGCTGAGAAATTTATGGCGATATGAAAAGCAATGAAAAATTGAAGGTGAATTGAAAGGCGCTGAGAA